AAACCAGTTAGTTTACAATTGTCTTGATCCCTGTCTATTTTTCCGCACTTACAATTTTTATATACATTTTTTTTTTAATTTCTGGGCCGTTATAGTATAAGGAACGTAAAGTTTAGACTCTTAATTGCTTCCGCCTTTATAATATATATTCATTTCCTTTCGTTTAGCGTCAAATTTTAATTAATTATAAGCAAAAAAATTATTTTAGATTATATATTACCTATCATAAATAAGCAACTTTATAACAAGCTAAATTAATTAATTAATTAATTAATTAATACCAAAATGAAGATCCTACTATTGTATTTATTAACAAAATATAATCAATCAATAAAAAATTCTATGTTGGAATCTTATTGAAAATGTAACCACTTCATGGGGTATCAGAAATTAATGGTGATCGTTAAAGTGTAATGTAGTCTAACAAATACTATATTTAATCACAAGCAATTTTAATTTTTGATTTATTGTATTCTGCACTTCCAATATTAATTTTATCAATTAAATTAACTAAATACACACTATAAAAAATATATATAAGTAGTAACCATAATTCATTACTTTTGGTTCATTGAACCATAATTCCTCACATCATAATTCCTTACTTTAACTAAAACACACTGAACAATGAGTAAAACTGTACACTACATATATAAATATACATACTTTATATATTACATAAATTATAGTGATTCTTAATGTTTGGGTATAACTCTCATAATCTCTTTTTTTTTTTTTTATTCTTCCAAATTAAAATTAGATAAAAACTAAAAGATCTTAAGAATTTTAGAAGAAAATTTTATATTTTGTCTTTCTTACCTATTGTAATTATATTAGTAAAATTATTTTAATTTTTATAAAGATATATAAATTAAAATATTATAACTATAATTTTCTTCCATTTAGTTATGAAAATAAGAAGGAAAAAAAAATTTATTTTTATTTTTATTTGAAGTAAGAAATAAGTAAAGTATTGTTATGCGTTAAAAACTATTTGGTTTGAACATTTTTCAAGTTTAGAAATTTAAAGTCTAAATTTTTTTATTAATAAAATTAATTTTTTATAGTTAACAATATTTTCAGAAAGATAAATAAATTAAAAAATTATAACTATAATTTTATTCATTTTATTTTATTTTTTAAAAATAGTTACTAAAATAAAAAAAAATTATTTTTTCTAAATTAAGAAATAAGTAAAGTATTGCAATAAGTTACAAAGTTTTTGGTCAAACATTTTTCAAGTTTAAAAATTTAAACTCCAAACTTTTTATTAATAAAATTATTCTTTTTACAATTAATAATTTTTTTTTGTAAAGACAAATAAATTAAAATATTATAACTATAATTTTCCTCCTTTTACTTTTTTTAAATTTAGTTATTAAAAAAAAAAGGTTTTCATCCGAATTAAGAAATAAGTAAAGTATTGTTATGTGTTACAAAATATTATTATGCGTTACAACGTCTATAAAATATTGTTATGCGTTATAACGTTTATAAAATATTGTTATGCGTTACGTTTTTGGTCGAATATTTTTCGGGTCAAAAAATTTAAATTTGCAACTTCATTAAGTGGTCCCTTGCTATTATGATTTATCTTCAAATCTGTTTATTATAAAATTATTATTATTATTAATTTACCAAAAAATAATTAATAATAATTATTTCGATAAAACAAAGAAAAAACACACCATACTTGCTGCTGAAATCTGTTCAGGAAGGAAAAGCTAGTGTTTGGTCATTAATCAAATATATGTATGTGTGTATATATATACAAATCCATGTCTCTTACTTTCTCTTGCCACATTGTCTTAAAAACAAAGACACCAACCCCCATGTGTTGCCCATAGATTTCTCTCATCAGTTACCATATGAGCTCTGTCTCTATCTATTTTCTTTACATATAAAGTTCTCGTTTTCTTTTTTCTTACTTGCATGAAAAGAAGAACAGACGCCATTAACACACTGTAAGTCACCTTCTTTCTCCATCAACTTCCTTGCATGTCACGACCCATCACTCCTCTTTTCATTCTCTCATAATCTCTTTTCTGGGTAGGTGTATATTAATAAATATATGTACACATATACATGTGTCTATGTTTGTGTGAGTTATTTCTTCTGTATTCACTAATGGGTGCTGTTTTTTATGATGATTACAACCAGGTGTTGATGATTCTGTCGTTTTCAGTTATAGGTTTGTGCGTTTTGATTTCAATTGGGTTAATTTGTTGATTTTGCGCTGATAATGGGTCCTATCAAAGGGCAAAAAAAGAGGAGGAACACAGAGAAGATGAAGCATGAAGGAACGATTAATGGTTTTGCTTCTGGTTCATCGGAGATGGAAGTGTCTAGTGATTGGTGGGATGAGTTTTCAAAGAAGATTAATGGTATATTTTTTTTAATTACTTTAAATAAATAGAATAGAACAAAAATTATTGGTTTACTTTCTCTGTTTATCTTTGTATCTTCTGTATTTTTTCTATATATCTTCATGATATGTTCATATCACTCTGCTAATCAGTCATGATGTTGGATATGCAAAATTGCTTTGTGGAGATGATGGGTTATTTCTTCATGGGTTGAATTTGATGGTGGATTATTCGATTGGGATTATGCTTGAAGTGTGATGGCATTTGGGAACATGTATAAGCAGGATCCCTAATCTTACTGAATGTAGGAATGGATAAGAGCTCAGGTTTTTTTCACTTATACTTCTATTTTAATATTATATATATGTCTTTATATATACATATATTAATGATGATGGGCATCTGGTAAAAATCCAAGACAAGAAGGGTATCTTGACCCCTCAATAATGTCTATGGATGTATTTGTTCTATGAGTCAGAGGCAAGACAAATGCAGCTTAAGCTGTCTCCATTTATGATAACTCTATATGAGATTTTGGAATGGTAAATTTCGTGGTTAGTACTGATTGCTAAAAAATCTGGATATTTGGTAAAATCTGGATTTTTGGAGTTTGTACTTCTGATTTTGCAGATTGATTAACTTGCAGTGGGAAATTTATGGAAAATGTGATAGTAAGAAGTGAAAACTGATTGCTAAGAAGGCAGCTTTAGGAGTAAGGGAAGGTAGCTAAAAGCTTTAGCTAATGTGGGGAAGATAAGAGGCATTGAATATTATTTTCTTGTCCCAAAATAGGAATTTGATTATTCTGAAGTTCCAATGGAAGGTGCTGAATATCCGATCAGAGAACTTCAATTTCAGTCATTGAAAGCAGTGGAGTTTTGGGTTTATGGCCAGCACTTGAATTGATTGTTGGGTCTCAAACTGGATTTTAAGTGTAGCTCCAGCTGTTGATATAACTATAAAACTCAAGCTTGTGTCAATCCCACTCGAAATCTTAGTTATTGTTTTCATAAATCTTTAAGAAGTCTTTTTGCAGGAGGGTACTCTGGTCTGATTCAATAAGGAAGACACCCGTGAACATAGTGGGGGAAAATGTGGATGGAAACAGCTAGGCAGGATTTCTCAAAACTATCTTGAGTTTAGCCATTCGAGATTGTTTGGTTACTGAGCTTTTCGGAAAGAGTCTCATTCAGCTGACATACTTTTTGTCTTTGCTGTGAAAAAGGCTATGTGATTTGGATGACAATAAAACTTATTGTTGCTTAATCTCTTTAAAAATATAAGTTTTATATAAAATGTTTTGAAAGAAATGCACATATTTTGACTTGAAAGGTTAAATTAGATAGTTACCCGTTCATTTTCCACAAGAAATCTTGACTTAAGATCAAAAGAATTCAGAACATAAGAAGACAGTTCCAAGACTAGGTTGTTTACAGGTGTTTATCTTTACATCGCCAGGAATCTCTGTTACTTAGTCCAACGGATAAATATTGTGCTATATACCAGATGAAATCGGCTATAAGTTCGATATTAACTAGTTTGAAAGAATCCCAGGTCTCTTAGGTTGGCTGGCAATGATTGATTATGCTGCAGCTTCTTTTAACAGTGTGAGTATTCTCGAGCCAAATAGACCAACGCCAAGCCTTTCCTTATACGATCTTAGGGCTAATTATTCTACACAATCCTAGTGATTCAGTATTTAGGGCTAAGTATTCTACCATTGCTTGCTGCTGATTCTTGTCTGCCTATGAAGATTATGAACGTGTCTTCTTCTTTTATGTAATTGCTGAAAACGTGTATCGGGATCTTAGCTAAAGAAACTTTTGCTATGCCTATGACATTTTGTTAACACATTGTTTAGCTTGTAACTAAAGAAAAGAAAAGAAAAGAAGAGAAAAGAGAATTATTTGGTCTCTCTTTTCCATTTTCATGTTATGATCTCTTGGTGTATGAGAGAAAATCATGAGGAAAACAACCCTCTTCATTATCCACATCCTCACCTGTTCCGGTAGTTTATTGACTAAACAGACACCTTTCAGGAGTTCTCAGGCTAACTTTACTTCATGTTTTGCACCTTCTCTGAGTCCATAAGCAGAAAAATAATAGATACGGTTTCTCAATATGATTTATACACATTATGATTTCATTTCAAGTTTTGGCTTTTTCTCAATTAATTCTGAGACTAGTCCAGTTGAGCAAATTTGGAGTGGCATACATGACTTCAGCTCTATATGGACAGGTAAAGTTATGATATTTTCTTCCTTGCTTCCTTCTATTTGCAGGCTTTCGATCCCCATCAAAAGGCCTGGATAAGTTCGAATCTATTTTCAAGATTTCAAGAAAAACATTCAACTACATAAGTTCACTTGTGAAAGATGATATGATTGCCAAGCCGGGGAGTTTTGCATTCGCAAACGGCAAGCCTTTGACTTTTCATGATCAAGTAGCTGTGGCTTTACGAAGGCTGAACTCTGGTGATTCACTCATGACAATTGGTGACTTGTTTGGTCTAAGCCACTCTACGGTCTCTCAAGTGACCTGGCGTTTTGTGGAGGCTATGGAAGAAAAGGGCCTATGCCACCTACAATGGCCTTCCTCTGGAACAGAAATGGAAGAGGTGAAATCCAAGTTTGAGAAAATTCAAGGCCTGCCTAATTGCTGCGGCGTGGTTGATACGACTCACATCATGATGTGCTTGCCTACTTCAGACCCTGCCTGCAACGTTTGGCTTGATTCGGAGAAGAATCACAGCATGATCCTGCAGGCAATTGTGGACCCTGACATGAGGTTCAGGGATATTGTCACTGGATGGCCTGGGAAAATGAAAGACTCGATGGTTTTCCAGAGTTCAAACTTCTGTAAGCTCTGTGATACCGGAGAGAGATTGAATGGAGAAAAACTTAAACTTTCC